GTTTGTATAAATTCAATTATCTTTTAAACTCTAGTATTTGAGACTGAAAAGGGCCTACAGGTATTGTATGTGGAAGAGTTTTTTTAAAAAAATTTTCCCTTAGAGATATAAGCAATAGAGCCTATGTCTACATTTTCGGATTCCCATATATCAGATTAACCTAAAGCACAATTGCATCTTTACCAACCAAGGACATCTTTAACAACAGATAGTCTCTGCTTTCAAGTAGAACGTATTCCCCCAGAAAGACTACAACAATTATTCTGACCTATAGAGAGTTAAAGGCAGAAACTGTAGAACGTATTCCCCCAGAAAGACTACAACAATTATTCTGACCTATAGAGAGTTAAAGGCAGAAACTGTATGAAGGGAAGTTGTAAGAAGGAAAGTAAATGTTTTTAGCTAACAAATAGATGGTATTATCAAGACCTAAGCTTTGACTTAGTAGGATTTACAAAACAACTGTTACTATGTACTTTTACTGTGTATAGATTTTAAGCTTAAGGAACAAGATCCAGCAGTATAATCACAAGCCTGGGTATAGCAGCATACTCTTAGAGTCTTCTTTGCCTCCATGTCCATTGTATTTACCTTTAAATTTTAATTGATGTTTTCATCATGGATTTGCCAGAGGAGAATTTGTAAAGGCTTCCCTTTTTAAACAAACTTTAAATTAATGTATACATTGAGTTCATAGAAAGCAAAAATATCTTCTTTAACATATCCAGAAATGAAATATTGTCAGTTCAATAAAACTTTATTAAAAAATGTTTATCCAGGGACACAATAAACAAACCATAGGCATGATCTTAGAGACTTTGGGGGGGAAATCTCCATCAGGGAAGAGTGAATGCACAGAATTGATTCTTAGATCCAAATATTGCTTGAACAGAGGAAGGGAAGGAAAAAATTACGTCAGTTAGTTGTTAGAACCAGCATCTGAAGGAGGAAGTCTCTCAGTGACTGGTCCAGAGAGGTAGAAGCCGGCTTGTTTATCCTGATAAACTCAACTGAACACAAAAGATAGTCCAACAAGGAAATGAAACAGAGGAAGGAGTCAGAGATCATATTTTTCAATGCTATTGACTAATTTTTAAAATTTGAAGGTTCTCTGAATTTCTTTCACTTGAGAAAATTAAGTGCTCTTGGGTCCATACGAATCTTAAAGATAGGAGCATGGCCACCCCAGACTATGGATTCATCTTTGGAATCCAATGACAGTGGTGAAGAATTGTTGGGCCCATGGGTTATCGCTGTGATTAAGGCTTTTGCATGAGTCAGGCAAATGCTTCCCATCGTGAGTTTGTAACACCGGGAAGCTGTTTATAGTAGCTGCTTATTTACTGGTATGAACTGAGAAAAAAAAAGTGCTCATTATTTTTCACATTGCTATTCATGTAACCTTGTAAGAATTTTCTATGGGCTGGTAAATTTCAGTGCTTATCTACAAGGCTATTTTGCAACCAGGGGATCTAACATGCAATTATTATACTAACACTTAATTTAATATGTTGTGCTTATAGTTCTGTCTTTAAGATATTAAATGATAGAAGGCATTATATCAAGGAAAGGAGGAAAAGGTGTAATTTAGTAGAAAGGGAGGAGAAAAGAACAACATTGGCCTTTTAACCAAAGCTTTTGAAATGAGATATTTAAAGGAAAATCTACCCAAATGATGGCTTAATTGAGAGGAAAGATAGCTTTACTCCATCCCCTCTGTTTACACACACTATTGTTTCAGCCAGTGATGTTTTGTTTACCTTGGAAGGAAATATTTTACCCCCTCTGAGATAATTAATTTTTGTCAGCTTCACTGTTTATAAGGGAAACTGAGAAACTGTTAATTGAAATACAGAATGAGTCACTGTTTTCAGTAATTTTTGGCAGTGTTCTAATTTGTGTCAATCTAGCCTAATTATTAGATTTTTTGGAAGCAAAAGCATATTTGATTTTTCTCTTACTGAATTTGTTCTTTCCTCCTTTGAAAAAAATATGTGCTGCCTGATATAGGTTATATAATTTATATCAACATGAGGTGAAATACCAGTACATTTGAAATACCAGGAGGTTTATTGCGTCACGCTTGGCTCTTCACATAGCTCAATATTTAGAAAGCTCACAGAATGTGGTCTTCCTCCTCTTCTCATTCCTACCCCCAGCCCAGGCCTGAAAATGCGATGCTTTTTAAGACCTTTTCACTGGTATTAAGCCGCGGTATATGGCCCGTCACTAATGACATCACTGAAGTAAGCTTCCCAGAAGCCATCAGGGAGAATTCATTTGGAAATCCAAATGAATGTCACTCGAAGAGGGCAGGCTCCTAGAAGCGATGGCCAGTCATGCATCCCTGAATTATTTGTTGTAAAAGCATTAATCACTGAGAACTCATTTGCTCCTAATGCAAACACACTACATTATTCCACAGGAATTCTGTTCCAAATGATCGTTAACGCAGAGAACGGAAGCCGCTGACTGTGGGCAGGGTTAATAAAATCTGTCAGATCAATGGCTAGTATAATGAGACTGTTAATGGTTCCTAATAGAAGCTGGATCTTCCTGGCTGTGTCAGAGTGAAGGCAGGCAGAGGGGCAGGTGGCTGCGCTGGGCAGACTGCCCTGTCTCTTGCCTGCCTCCCGAGGTGGCCTCTGGGTGAAAAAACACTGATGTCAGTCACTGAGTGTTGCCAGGCCTCTGAAGCAGCTGCGGTTGGGGGTATAAGAGCCATCTGTGGGCTGGGGGAAGCCAGGGGTGACCACTAGACAGTTCTGCCACCACACTCCAACAGCTCACACGCCACAGCCCCTTGCAGGTGGCAGCTGGCTGCATCTGAACATCTGGCATGTGGCTATCCCAAACCCTCACCCAACCCCACTGCACAGTCAACCTCCACTGAAGGACAGCATTGACAGAAATAGTGACAGTCGCAGCTGATGCTCCTAACACTCTTTGGAAGTTCTCATGGTCCTTGGACTTAGTTTCACACCACTTACCACGATCCTCGGAGCAGCACCTCTGTGATATGTGTGCTCTCCACTGTCCCCAAGGACATTTAAGAAATGTCCAAGGTTAGGTTCTGAAGTCTGTGCCCTTCTTTATTGAAGAGAGAGACACTGATGCTGCAGCCTGAAATCTAACCAGATACAGATGTAGAAAGTGGGCCTGGAAGTTCTTGCTCTTACACATTCAACCAGTCAGTATGTTCAGAACCAGCCTTGGAGGGTGGACATGAAAGCTATGGTTTGTCCACAAGGCTGTTCCTTAGGCTTTGTTACTAAAACCCAGGACCTGTAAGGGACCTGAGGATTTTGTGTTACCTCACTGCAGCTTTGAGCCTCTATGTCAGGCTCTATACTTAAGAGTCATTCCTGGGCCTCCCCTGGTGGTGCAGGCAGTTGAGCGCAGTGCTGTGAAGCTGACCACAGCCTCTGCAGCACCGGTTCGATCTCGGCCGGGCAGCGAGGGTCCCACATGGCATGACAGATCTCTCCTGTCTCGCTTGCAGCTCCCCTCAGCAGTGTATTTCAGTCTGCCTGATCTGTTCCCCGCTCTGTCTCTGGTGAATCCTCTCACCCTCCCGCGAATCTTGCCTGTACCCCAGTTCTTGTGTAAATAAATAAATTAAAATCTTTAAAAAAAAAAAAGTCACTCCTTACCTGCCCCAGCAGTGTTTTTGACAGTGGGGTGTTGTGCTTCTGACCTTCCGCCACCTGGTTCGGTAGAGTGGGAGGAGGGGTTGCTTCCTGGGGATGCTCCTGAGCACAAGACTGATGTGACTGTAGCAAAGGTCACACAGGCTTCCAGCAGACAGCTGGGCATGGGAGCATGGTTACAGCGGCACTGTGACATTCCTCAACCCAGTGACTGTTGTAACTGATGTGGTGACACAGCTGCTTCCAGGCTCAGGAATAGGAGCTGGAATGGGATGAGGTTTGCCAGTGGAATTCAGTACAAGAGGTTTCTAGGAGCTGAGGATATTAGGGAGCAGGGATGAAAGAAGAATCTAGAAACATAAAAATGTAAAATATTAACACTATTGGATGTTTCCAATAACACAGAGTGCAGCAGAAGAGTTAAATAAATGCACTTAATGAGTGAGGGGACATTGCACATGACATAAGTCACCTCTCCCAGGTCAGGTCTATAACCCAGAGGGGGCAGGCATCAGTTATCTTTACACCCAAATGCAGCATTATTCCTAAAGATTTATTCCCTTTTTAAAATGTCATTATACAATCTAATGTTAAGGGTTTAAAAGATGTGAGAAGACAATATAATGGAGGGTGTGGAAGAGGGAAGGCATGGGGAGGACAAGGAAGGTCTCAAAGGGAGGCTCTCATGCATCTCACAGCACCTATCACCTGTCACCAGGGTGGTTACCTGGTGCCACGTACAGTGGGGAGCACAGGGTCAGGCCAGTGTTTTATCCACCTCCTGCCCAGCTTAGGAATGCACGCTGTGTTAGACTACACAGCCCAGGATACAAGTCAGACAAATTGAGGAGAGAAATTGACAAGTGGAGACTAGAATTCAGAGACAGCATCATGGAAGACTGTGATGGCTGCAAAGACTACAGATAATATGAAAATAGGGAGAGAAAACATTCCATGCAGAGTTGGGGCATGAACGAACAGCATGAAGATGGGAGCCAGCTTGCTGAGTGCTACAGGGAATGACAAGAACAGCCCATCCTAGTGGAGGAATGAGCAGCTGGGTGTGAGTGTGAGTGTGAGTGTGGGTGCGTAAGTGTGTGTTGGGAGAAGGGAGCAGTGGGCCCTAAGCCAGGACTGCGAGGGAGATGGTGCATTGCTAACAGCCTCAGTACCCACATATTACTCCAGTACGCTAGGCAACAGGGCATCTAAGAAGCACCGCCTAAGCCACCTTTTGGAAAGTTTCATATGGTAGTTGTGTAAGACAGTAGATTGGATGGGGAAGGGAGAACCAGGGGTATTGGGAGCAGCCAGGTGGCCTGACATGACTTGTCGTCTCTTCTCCTACAGCACACTTCTATATTGCTGCCCACCCTGGTTGAAATCATCCTCAGGCCACACGGCTATCCAAAGAAGAAGAAGGGGCTCTCCTTGTTTACTATTGCTTCCTTTGCTTACATTACCAGGTAAGAGTTACAGAGAGAAAATCAACTTGGATTTGTTACAGGAGAATCTGAGGGATATTTCCAAAGATGCATACTGTTCTTTCAGAGGGTCTTTATTCTTGGGCTAACAGGGATTTCACCATCTTTAAATATTCAGGTAAGAATGATTCTTATTGCTTGATCTTGATACTCATGGAAACATCACTCGCAGAGGGATCAGCATGTGTGCCTGGAGGAATGCAGGAAGTCATGAGCTCCTCTCTCCCACTCATGGAGAATCATTACAAAGCTATGCTTTCCCCAAGAAAATATTGATCTTTGGTTCCATTTGAAATTAAAATGTTTTAATGGATGAATGATCTGATGCATCTAAATCTATTCCATCTAAAAGGCATTTGACAGGTTGAGCATGTTGGGTTTGGTCTATTCCTCTTGTCTGTATCACTATTGGTTTATTTGCATCAATGCTTGGCACCATAGTTCCTAGAGGGCATTTGGGCAATTGCCTGAGGAGCTGAAGATCAGCCTAGCTAGAGGCAAGGCAGATAATTTAAGTAGGTAGGCAAGATTTCATCATCCAACCCCCTGGATGCACAAAATTCTCAGAAATGCAGCCCAATGTTCTGTAATCCAGAGAAAGTTCTTTTCCTTCCACCCAACCAGTGAAAGCCTCCCTTTCCAATTGATAGCCCTTTCTTCCACTGCCATGCTTCTGCTTTACAGAAATAGCCATGTAAAGTCTACTACCTGTGGATTGATCCCTTCCACATGATGCATTTCTCTAGTCTAGATTCACATAAGCTGTTCACATCTGATAGTCTGGGTAATATCTCAATCCCTTTATGGGGAGGGGGTAGCTTAATTCATTATATACTCTCAGAAACAGAAGCCAGAAGAACACATTCCAAAGGACTTGGGCAATAGTAGTGCCTCATCAGCCTCTATCTTAGGGCCTAGGCCTCAGATAATGCTATCTTTCTAGTCTCCCCATCTCTTGTGGTACCCACTGTTGTTCTGCTGACCCCCTCTTTTCCTTTCTTGCTTCTCCTGTCCTGAACAAACTACTTGCTCAGTAAATCCCCCCAACTGCCTGTGATCAATGCTGTTTTCCATTGCACTTAACAAACGGAACTTTTAGAAAATAAAGCTTCAGCTGGGGACAAACTGGTAGATGATGTATGGAGCACTGTGTTAAGAAGGATTCTGAGACCCTGCCAAAAAAAGAGTTGTGTTATCATTTAACAATATATTCCAGTAGCAAGAGAATGAAGAACACAGGATATGTTCCATATATTTGCCATGTTTGGTTTAACCCAAAGGAAAAATCTCCCTAAAGAGAGAATATTTGGGACCTGGGGTTGGGGAAAGAGACACACATAAATGTATTTCTTTTTGTTGTATGTGTTGAAGAAAATCAGGGTGGCAGCTGTCTGAATATGCACTTAACTTTCCATACTTTTTGGTGGATTTCAATCTGATTTACTCTTTCTCCTGAAGTGTAACTTTTGGAGTTCACCTATAAGATACTGAGAGAAGGTGATGAGAAGAGAAGGTGATGATCTGTATTGGGAGTAAGAACAGGGTTCTATCGGATGTTAAGGACTTTTTTCAGACAAATGGTGTCTAGGCTGAGAGCCAAAGAATCAGTAATAATAAGACAAAAGACACATGGAAAAGACCATTGGATAAAGGGAAGAGCATCTACAAAGGCTAAAGTTGCTGAGGATATGGCTGAATCAAAGGACAGGGAAAAGATAGCTCATGAATTCACATGAATGAATTTGAACTTTTAAGCGTTCATTGTGAGAGAAATGTAAGCAGAGACGTAAAATGATGTGTTAGAAAGATGAATAGAAAGATGATTCTGGCTGAAGTATGGAAATTAAAGAGGAATAAAGCAGAGAGACCAGTTGGCAGAATTTATGGTAACTCAGGAGAGTTGATATTAGCCAGCTGAGAAAATAGCAATCAATCTGCAAACTGAATCAGAGGCATGGGTGATGGTAGGCAACTTAGGGTTCATCCAACATTAGAAACCCGAATCCTCAGTGGGTTAAATGACGTGCACGAGGCCAAATGGGCACATCAAAGCTGTGACTTAAATCAGGTCTCTTATTCCCAACTCCAGTTCTCCTTCCACTGTATTCCCATGGCAAGGTATTTGTTCAGCTTCCCCAACTGCAAAACACACCCTGCTAAATGCCAGGCAAAAAAGTGTATCCTTGTGGCCAGGCAAAAAAACTATATCCTTGTCTTTACACTCTGCTCTCTGGCTTGAAATTAGACATTAAAATGTTGGTAATGGAACAAATGGAGGAAATACAAAAAGGCCTGTCACTGGCAGGAATGTGACTGGGTATATCCCAGAGGGGAGCCGAAGTGGTTTGGGACTTTGACCTCCTTATAAAAATGAAGGACTCACTCAGCATTTGGTCCACTAGTGCCCAGTTTTGCTAGAATGAATCAAATGTGGGCATCTGATTGCCACACTACTGAAGTTTCCCATCCTCTGTGCATGCTCTGTTTAGGGGAGCTCTGACTCTGCTGACTGCCATCCCAGCCTTCACAGCACTCTAGGGCTCCAGGGTCCTCATGTCTACAGATCACCATTAACAAACTGTGACTATCCAAGGAGATGCTTTAGGGAAGTGGCTCTGGGTTGGCTGTGAGGTAGGCCAGTTTGAATGGTCAAATAGGGAGACAGCACAGCAGGAATGAGGGAAATAATATGAGCCTGGGCCAGAGAGAGCGTGAGAAATAAGCATGAATCAGAAAAATAGCAATAGCTGAGCCAGAGAAGCATTTCACTGCTGAAACCATGTTACAATGACCTAAAAATAGCCACCAAAACCATGGGGACTACCTCACATGTGGCACTTGATTTTTTGCTATTTTTCAGATTGCAAAATTGGAGGGCTGGCCTTTCAGTGGAAAAACAAAACTTTGCAAAGCAGTAATAACTGCAAATCATTCATTTCCTTTGGAAAGCATTAGTCACCTATAAATATGGTAGCTCATACACTCCTCCCATCTCTCTCACCCCAAAACATCTCACCTAACTCTCTTTGAGGCAGTGGTGAGGAGAAGGAAAATAGAAATGTTCCTACTGCTGGCTTTTATTCATTCTCTTGAACAAATATTTCCCCTAACACAGAGCTTGTCCTGCTGGGAAAAGCAGTTATATAAGGTCAATCCAGCCTACAGTAGGCTTGTATTTAGTAAGTAGAAATGAACGATGCATACAAATTTCAGCAGATGGTAGGAATGTTTAAATGTCATGACACATACAAGGAGCCACATGGAAGCTAAGGAGCAAAGAGTTACATGACAAGAGCTTCACGGAGAGTATGCAGTGGATCTGAGCCAGAAGGACTGGAAAGACTGGAGCTGCAAAATTGGGAGAAAGTGAACAAACCAAAACAGTCCCAAGGCCAAGGGGTGCAATGGTCAACAATTCACTTTAGCTGGACCTTCTAGTGAAGAGTGGACAAATAGGAGGCTCCACCTCATGGCAATTTGTGGATGTGGGCGACAGCTTTGACAGCACAGGAATGTGAGATTGGTAATGGTGGTGGTTTGTTTCTGTGGCAAAGAAATGATAGTATTAGTATAATAACTTGGCCTGAGAATTATATTTTCAAATATTGCTTTGAAAATTGTGCTGAAAATGGAGTGGAAAGACATAGGAAGTGAAATAGAACAAAGCAATGCCAAAGAAAAGTTGACCAGAGGGGCCTTCCCTGGTGGCGCAGGTGGTTGAGCATGTGCTGTGAAGCTGTTCGCAGCCTCTGCAGCACCAGTTCGATCCCAGCCAGCTGGCAAGGGTCCCACATGGTGTGGCAGACCTTTCCTGTCTCGCCCGCTGCTCCCCTCAGCAGTGTATTTTGTCAGTCTGCCTGTTCTGTTCCCCCACTCTGTCTCTGGTGAATCCTCTCACTCTCCTGAAAATCTGGCCTGTACCCTGGTTCTTGTATAAATAAATAAATAAATCTTTAAAAAAAAAGAAAAGAAAAGTTGGCCAGGATATGCTTAAGTCATGCAGTATAATCAGTGTCTTATCCTTCATCCATGGCTAGCCCATAGTTCCAGTGTCATCTCATAACTGGGTGCCTAGAGCAGCCTCCTTCGTCCAGTCCTTGAGATCTAAGGAGTTTTGATAACCCAGTGAGTGCCCACAATTACCCATGCTGCATGCCACCTTGAGCATTGCCCATCCACAGATTGTAAAGTCACAATAGTCTTCAGAGACTGACAGCTCTCCTTGGCCCCATGTTTAGGTTAGCACGCCGCCCCCACTTCTGACAATGCCAATACCACGTTGGTCCTAAGTACTTATGTTGTAGCAGGAACAATATTATTGCTATTGCAGCAGTCCCAGCTGGCCTAGAGTGCACTAAGTATTTCCTGTTGATAGGCCAGAAATCTGCTAATGTCCTTATGTGTCTCTACTAGTGTGTGAAGTTCTTATAAGGTGAGAGAGAGAATTCCTTTTTTCTATACAGTGCTCACTCATGTGTGGACCCAGAGCAAGCCTGGCTGGGCCTCCAAGTGTAACAATCCTACAAATCCTTCCACCTATTTATAGACACACATAGAAATATCTTACTCCTGAAATACATTTAACACTGCCAGAAAGTTGGACTGAGCTGAGTTCCAAGATCAGCCACCACACCATACCCAGCAGCAACAATACTTTCCTACTTTTACTCCTACTCTTGCAATATCACAAATTCTCTCCCTAAGCCACTGTTACCCTTCCTGAAATATGGCCTTTGTTTGAGACCGCTTGAATGCACCATAGTTTTACACCTCAAATGTTAGTGGGAATCAGAATCTTTGCTCCATCTTCCACAGAAGGACTCCTTAGTCTTCAGGTAAATTAACATATAAAATTAAGTAGAAGGACGTCTTACAATTTCCCTTATTATCAACAATTGGGGTTCAGCCATGATACAAATTGAAGAGGGGTAACAGTGGGAAAGAAGAAATGGTTATCTATGCTTCTCATCCTTCCTGTCCAA